TAGTTAGGATAGAAGCCCGACTGAATTGGCGTCACTAAGCCATTGGCGCAGGTTAGGGGAGAGTGTGAATTTACGCGTATTTAGTTTTAGAAAACACACAGTGACTGAGAGAACTCGATTCGATTTACCGAAGAGTCATGCATTATTAGCTGTAATAGTCACTGTTTACAAACCCACACTTCCTCTTGTAAAACAGAAATACCAGTTATCGAAAATATATTCTGAAGCGTAAAATAAAACAAATGTAATAAAACTAAGGCATTATTTAATTAGAAAAGCTTTTAATTGCTTTTATAAGTAAGATTTATTAAGGACACGATTTTCTTAAGAAGAAAATTTTTTCGATGAATTATTAATTTTTACAAGAATTGTTTTTTTTTTTTAAATTTTAATTATTAAATTATTTAATTTATAACAATATAAATTGTTTAAATTTCTGCACTATTTCAAGGCGGTTAGGAATTAAAAATTGAAAAAAAAATAAAAGTCGTTCAGCCCAATATTTTTAAAATAATTTTTATTTTATTTTTTTAGCGTAGAAACAGTCCTATTTTGTTAAGTATGGATGTCCGTCAATGGCTTAATGGTAGAATCCCAAACCTACGCCAATTCGGTCGGGTTTCTATCCTAACTAGAGGCAATCAGACATCTAAACACACTGATGAGCTGCGAATCGGTCTGTCTGTGAATGACAATATATATTTAAATCATATATATGTGTGATTTAAATTATCTAAGCAGTTCAGCTCTTAACTTATATAAGAATTAATTGGCTAAAGACTTAATTTATCGAAATTTCTTAAAATTAAGTAAGTGAGGATAACTGATGCGAAAAAAAGAATTTTACCAAGATTTTAATAGTTGTCCTCCCTAAAAATCTAGCCGTCTGCAATTCTTTCAGTATTTAGTTCTGTGTTTCATCGTGTTTACGCCTCACCAGGCTTTGCTAATCCTCCCATACAAATTTTAAACTTTAAAATTTAAAGTAATTCTTACTTTTCTATTTCGCTAAATATTTTTATTTTATGTATTTATTTTGATGTGGGTCATACTTCACTTAAATAACCTGGAGACGAAACCTAAAATAATTCTACTAAACTAAAAAAAAAATTATTTTTTACATTTTAACTTAAATTAATTTTTTCTTATTCAATTTCTATTTGAAGTTCTTATTTTTTTTTCATTTGAGTGTCACTTTGAAATGTTCTTTCAAATTATTTTTATTTTAACTTCTACTTCACAAAAAATGATTTTTTGTTAGTAGTTTTTTTTACCATTGACTATATTTTAAGTTTATTCTTTTTGCGAGAGTTATTTTGATAAAACGTAAAGCCATAAATCTAAAGTAACTAAAATTCAATAAAATGTTAGATAATTACTGAAAATATTACGCTAATTTTTAAAAATTACTAGGTTGTTGTAAACCAAAACCAAAGCCTTCACTTAGATTTCATAGATATATGTCAATTTCTGGTCATCCATACTTAGCCTTTCAACACCTTCAGCTGCCAATCAATCGACTATCCCGCCAAAAAAAGCAAGAAAGAAAGACCACGTGGTCACGAAATGCTTGTATACTACGTTTTATACTATAAGTAAGTAATATTTGTTTCAAATCAGATTAATTTAACTTTAAATTTGTTAAGTTTTCTCAAATAACCTTTTCACAAATATATATTTCATTTTTGGAATATTGAGAAATAACTTTTGTTTACACATCTATCAAATGGCCGATATTTATCGATTTTTATTGATTTTCTGAAAGCGAGCAAAAAGTTGCGATTCAAATCAATATCATTTCTATTTGAAATACACCATTATTTTGCTTACTGGAAATAGTAAATTTAATTATTTAGCTGTCAATTAAAGCTAAAAAGAAAGCTTCAAAAATACTTTTTCATTTTAAAAAAATCATTTTAATCCTTAGGTATCGAAAAGTTAATGGAGATACCGACTTTAAATTAAAGGTTAGGAAGAGACCCCACGATCAATACTGCAAAGAGCGATAACAATTACTGAACTTGAAAAACATATTTTTCCTGGAAAATTATTTTAAGAGAAATATTTTATAAACTTCAATCGAAATCAGTACTGGCTGCTCAGTCAATAAATGCCAAATGTTTCCTTGTAGGGAAGAATGGTTTTAAAAAAAAAAACATCGAGCTATCGAAGCCTGAGGGTCTTGGCAGAGGTAATCCTTCTCTGAACATTGTGGACGGGCCTACAGAATCACAAACAAAGACCTGTATCAAATAGCAGAAGTTATATCGCTTGAGGACTACCAACTGCTGCAACAACTAAAATGGATATCACATGTAACTTGAAGAGAAAATAATGACATCATCAAGATGTTAACGCTCCACACGTCTAAGAATTGGGTAAAAATGTTTAGGAAGGAAGTCCCCCATCAATACTGGAAGGATCAATGACAGTTACTGGATTTGAAGAACCTATTTTTCTAAAAAATTATTTTAATTGAAATATTTTATAAAAATTCAACCGGGAGTAGCACTGACTGCTCGGTCAATGAATGAAGAATGTTTCCTCAAAGGGAACGACTAATAATACCATTATCATGTAATATTACCATTACCACATAATATTACCATTACCATGTAATATTACCATTACCACATAATATTACCATTACCATGTAATATTACCATTATCACGTCATACTACCATCACCATGTAATATTACCATTATCACGTAATATTACCCTTACCACGGGATACTACCATCACCAGGTAATATTACCATTATCACATAATATTACCATTACCACGTGATATTACTATTACCATGTAATATTATCATTATCACGTAATATTACCATTACCACGTGATATTACCATTATCACGTAATATTACCATTACCACGTGATACTGCCATCATCATGTAATATTACTATTATCACATAATATTACCATTACCACGTAATATTACCATTACCATGCAATACTTTCATTATCACGTAATATTACCATTACCATGTAATATTACCATTATCACGTAATATTATAATTATCACATGATATTACCATTACCATGTAATATTACCATTATCACGTAATATTATCATTACCACATGATATTACCATTACCATGTAATATTACCATTATCACGTAATATTAACATTACTATGTAATATTATCTTGTAAAATTATCATTACCACGTATTATTACCTTTATCACTTAATATTACCATTACCACATAATATTAACATTACGTTGTAATATTACCATTATCGCGTAATATTTACATTACCAAGTAATATTACGATTACGATTCAGGTTATTAAATATTGAATTTATCAATTTATTTATTATTATTATTGCTGCTGTTTTTGCTGCTGTTGTTGTTTTACTGTTGTTTATCGAAGAAGAATTCTGAATATTTGACCAGTAATTAGTATGGAATCGGGTGTCTGTGGTTAGAAGAGCAATGCTAGTAATGTTAATTATTCTCGGGAAGAGTATTGCCGGGTTTATCGTCACTCAATCACAGTGTGACTAATTTTGCTAGTCCGTACATATAATATGCATAGTGATTTTCTAAGCGCTGCTTAGATGTGGCACAAGGCCGGAAGTATGGAGCACCACGCCGAGATGCCCATATATAATATGCATATACAAGTGCGTACATGTCTCTGTAGTCACGCGTGTGATTATATGCGATCCTTAAATTCGGTCCGTTTCAGGCTCTTCCCGGCGAACACGTAACGTTCTTACAACATTGCAGACAGATACTGCAATTTGCTTAGAGTATATGTGATGTGCCAACATTACTAAAACGTTGCAATCAACTATTTTCCTGACCCCCAAACTGACCGCCCATTCCCAACGTTGTCATGACGTTATGATTGATTGATTTGTTGTTGCATGTTAATAAGAATGGACAATTTATAAATGTCTGTTTATTGCTGCGTGCACAACATGACCACACAATTTATATTTAACGTAACATACCACATAACATGAAATACAAGAAGGAACAAAATGGTTTTAAAACAATAACATTTGTATTTGTTGTGTCATGATGTACATGCGTAGAAATTAAAGTTCTGTTGGTGTTATGTCCCTTATACTATGAAATATTTTTATTTGAGCGCACAAAAAGTTGAATTAATTATAAAGCTGAGAAATGCTGAATAAACTATAGCTTTAAAAGAATATTTCAAAGAGAAAAGTTCTTGTTGGTTGTTTGGAAATGTTTCGTATGTTTGTAATATAGTTTGGAAAATTTCGTACGTACGAGCATGCGTGAATATGCTTTTAACATCTGACCGACAATGGTCGAAACGAGAATTCTTAAAGGTCACATCTTCGCAGGAAAAAGGGAGAAGAGAAGAGAAAGCAGCAAGCTTGTGTCTGCTATTTATATTTAATGTAATCACGTGACAGGCTAGCAGAAAATGGCGGGAAAACTTGACTTGGTCACAAGTTGGAAAATATTTGTACTTGGGTGGATTGCAACGCCCACTTGTGTGTTTATTGACCAATCAGAAGCTGATATTTCCTGAAAATATTTACTAAGCTGAGTAGGCTTTCTGATCCACATTTTGTAAAAAATTGTACAAAATTCAACATTGATAAGAAAGTGGTAGCGGGATGCTACAGATTCGTTTTCTACGGTTTATCAACCAATTGCAGGTTATTTAAAGCCAGAAAATATTTTTAGATTTTAAGAATTTTCATAAGTAGATAATAATTGTTTATACAATTCTTACTTATCAACTCATAGCGGGGAGAAGATCAGATGGATTCGCATCCTTCCCAATGGTAGTTGCGCATAAGTAAATATAACGACATCAACGGAAATTGGAGCTTACAGCACCTGGTATTCAAAAGCGGTCACCCATCGAGGTAATGACCTGGCTCGACGTGATCGCGTTTCGAGGATGTTTGGTGATCGTGCGTTTCATCGAGAGGTGATGTTTGTCGATCGTGCGTTTCGAGGTGATGTTGTCGTAAGCCATACCACTTGCACATCCAAGCTTACAGCACCTGGTATTCACAAGCAGTCACCCATCGAGGTACTGACCAGACTCGACGTTGCTTAACTTTGGTGATCCTACGGTGTTTCAACATGATGAGGCTGTAAGCAACAACATTATAATCAAGTAACATCAGAATACTTTTTCTTCACTTAACAACATCCATAGAACGTAACAAAATTTTTTACTTATTTTTTTTTAAATTGAGAAACACTAATTTAGATGAAGAATATATGTTCTAATATCTTCCTGGAATTAATTATGCCTTTTTTTTTTTTTGCGGAGCACATGGTACATCAAATGCCACGTATTTTACAATGATACGAGTGACCGTTCCAGGATGGAAAGCGCGACACCAAATTCCGAAGACGCATTGAGGTAACGAAAAAAAAAGCAAAGCAGAGTATTAAGAAACAGAAAAATCTCGTTAGAATAAGAGAAAAGTGTACTAAACTCTTATGTAATGTCACTTTATGACAGTGAAAGATGAAGATGAGACTTGAAGCAACGAGGAAATCTGAGGATACAATAAACTTAACATGAAGAAGATTTTTTATAGAAAATGTAAAGAAAAAGATACATATACTTAACATCAGGAAGAAACAGTTGAGATTTCTAGCACACATAATGAGGAAAGATGGTTTGGAAAATTTGATACTCACAGGATAGATTGAAGGCAAGAGGGACAGAGGAAAGAAATAAAGAATATGGTAACTTTGCAAAGTGCTGTACCTGAAAATTCAGCACTTAACATCAGAATATGTTTTCTTTACTTAATATGTGTGGAAAGCATGAAATTCCTGTTCATATTTTTCAATTGAAAATCCCTAACTGAAATGATGAATACACTTTCTAATATCTCCCTGGAATTTATTATTCATTTTCTATTAATGTAACATTACAGGATGACGTTACGTGCACATTGTGGGGTCTGCAATAAACGTTTTTGCAAGCTCTATGTGATATTGTGATCTTAGGGGATCCACTGAACTGTTATATAATATCAGTCCTCTCATATGGTAGTGAATGCTGGACAATCTTGTCAGAGATAAAGAAGACGCTTCAAACTGCAGAAATACAAAAGGATGCTGAGAATACCATGATTTGAACACGTGAGCAACGACGAAGCTTTACTGAAGATGTTATATACCGTAACTAAGAACACTAATGCGTATGTCCCAATCCTTATAAATACGTTGGACAGTATTGTAAGTGGTGGTAATATGCTGTCTATGCTCTTGCGGTGTTGAACTCTCTGTCTTTGGGCAGAGATGAACCCGGACGAGACTCTGCACTTCAGCATAGCCTCGCTCGACATGTAGACAGAAACTTAATCCCGCGTACGCGGGGTCTACGGGCAATTTTTGGCCGAGCCCACGGGCTCGGATTTGCCTGCATTAAATTTGGCCTCGTGCTACACCCTACCTCGTAGTGAGGCAGGTAAATATCGTAACATGCTATATAAGTAGTCCACCACTAGCGGTGGTTTACCTACTTCCCACCGCTGGCGAGTATTGTATTTTGTTGATGTTATAAAGATTACCATTTCATTTCCAACCTCCGTTTTGATTATTCCTCATTCAGTAACCTTTTCTAGGTTGCAACAGAAGATAAAAACAAAAAGGACGCTTATATTTAGAATCAGAAAGAAAAAATTGAAACTTCTAGAGCACATAATGAGGAAAGAGGGATTGGAGAACTCGATACTCACAAGACAGATTGAATGCAAGAGGAAAAACAGAAAATAAGCGACCTAATGAGCGTGTGTAAATAGTTGGCAGGACAGAGATTAGAAGGGAAAGCAAAAAAGCAAAAACTACTAAGAGATGTAAAAGACAGGAAGTTGTGAGAGTCATGATCGGCTACGTCATGAAAAGCAAACGACAAGCAGAAGAAAACTGTAGAAGTGTAGAAACGTCATTTTCTTAGATGTCGTATATTTTTGTCATTGTAACTTTTTTTAAATTGAATCCGGACCAGTCTTACGATTACACAATTATTCGACCAAATCAGCGACCCTTTCCATCCCATATCCCATCTCATTCACGCCCTGTTTACAAATAACTCTGTCTGCAGACTCATTTGGCGCCGGTCAGGAAAATGAATATTGTTAAAAAAAAAAGCCATAACTAATAACCTTAATAAGAGAAAAACGTTTTTTTACGAAATTGGAATAAAAATTGAGAAACTAATTTTTGAATACAGTTAAGAAATTATCATTAATATAAGTTAGAATTACAGTTCTTGAGTGATTGGTGGACTGCACAAGTGCAGGGAACGTTTATGTGCCTGCGTGCACGGACATAAGATTTTATATATATATATATATATATATATATATATATATATATATATATATATATATATATATATATATATATAATATTAAATATATATATATATATAATGCATATATTAAATATATATATATATTATACATGTTATATATATCTTAAATAAGTATATATATTAAACATATAATGTCATCCACAGACAGACTGTTTCGCTGTATCACAGCTCTTCAGTGTGGCTAGACGTCCTGTTGCCTCGAGATAGGATCGGAACCCGACTGAATCGGGGTCAGTCGGAGATTCTACCACTAAGCCGCCGCCATTTTTGCTATCAAACCACCTGACAAGTTGATGGGATCACCGTCAAACTAAATGTAGGGAGATATATGTGAACATTTAATCTTATTTGTGAACATATATGTACGTATATATGTTTATTTAGGCTACATAGCATGATTAAAAAAATGTTTCATTAAATAATATAGATATGTAAGACATCAAGAAACTAATTAGAAAACTGGAACGGATCAATATAAATATAAGTAGAAAATAATATGTCTATATTCTTTTATATATATATATATATATATATATATATATATATATATATATATATATAAACATATGTCCGTGCACATGTGCAGTTCAGCAATCACTCATTCAATAATATAGGTCTATTGTGTCTATATATTAATATATAGAGAGACATATTCATAGATATAGACTATATATAAAAATATATTGTGTCTATATATATATATATATAGACACAACACAATTTATATATATATATATATATATAGACAATATTTTTTATATTATGTCTATATCTATATATATATAGGTCCCTCTCTCTTTCTCTCTCTCTCTCTCTCTCTCTCTATATATATATATGTGTGTGTGTGTGTGTGTTTGTGTGTGTGTGTGTATGGGGGCGCGGGTTCGAATCCTGCTGAAAGGCACATTATTTTCGAATAGAGTCGGTAGACGTAAATTACTCTGTAATACAAAATGTCGACTCAAACATGTGTATCTCCTAGCAACAACTCTCTCTCTCTCTCTCTCTATATATATATATATATATATATATATGTGTGTGTGTGTGTGTGTGTGTGTGTGAAAAGTGTTCGTTGAGTTTGTCTGACGATCGCAACAGCGTGAAACCCAGGGTCACAAACTCACATCAATCAATCAAATATATATATATATATATATATATATATATATATATATATATATATATATATATATATGTTGAGTGGTCCGCCCTTTTATACAAATGGACTCATCTAGTGTATACTTATACTACTGCCAGTGAATACCAGAGAGCAAGACCGAAGAGTCGAGTCGAGTTGAGTCGAGTCGAGAGTGACAGAGTAAAAGGTTGTAGTTAACCGGAAGAGTGAGGGGTGAGGTAACAGCGTTGTAGGAGTCACAGTGAGCAAGCACGTAGACTCGGTAAGAAGTCATACAGCGATACTTCAATACCAAAGACTGTATATATATTTTGCTACTAACCCGTATTCCTGGAACTACTAACCTGCTTTACCAGTTTGTATTATTACGTTAATACATTATTTTTATATATTCATTCCTGGCGTTTGTTATTTATTGGTTTCGGATTTCAGCCCGGAATCCACAACAATATATATATATATATATATATATATATATATATATATATATATATATATATATAACAGTCTATTTCATATTCAGACGCAATCTTTACGCCTGAATATTGTATTCACGCAAGAAATAAACTGTCGCCGCTCGGTGTTGACGCCAGTGTCCAGTTTTATATTTACATGTGCTCTATCCCTGAAATTGGAGAGTTTAACCCATAAATATATCATACCTTAACACTATATGTTCATCGTTATTATATATATATATATATATATATATATATATATATATATATATATATATATATATATAAACAGAGACTTGTGCCCACAGAAAAACTAAAATAGATTTAAATAAAATGGAAGTCATTATTTTACTTTTAGGACCCTTTCTCAAAAGGTAATCGTTGGTGAAGCAGTGAAACAATCGCTGACACATTAATAAGTAACGAATGAGGAGGGAAAATTGGAACACGATTAAAATAGATTTTAATTCGAAATAAATTTTAAAAATGCAAAATTCCAAAAGAGTGTAAAAAAGAAAAAAAATTCCTTCACAATCCCTCGATCAAACGTAAGGAACGAAGAAAATGTTCTTTTTGTTTACATAAGCACGGCTGATGAGACTTAATATAAACAGCTTCAAGGACTCAGAGACGTTGAACCGAGCAATTACTATGTAAAATAGAAAAGAATTTCAACGATAAGAATGTATTTAGCTCTAAGTTGAAATGATGAGCCCTTTTCTAGTTGTGACCCCCTGATCCAGTTTTCCTTTCTACTGTTCCCTCTTTTTTAAAATTTATTCACCGTTCTCTTGATGGTTCTTGAATGGACTTTGAAGATGGAAGCCAGAGTATGAATTTTGGTACCATTACTGATGGCATGAATGCTCTTTTTCCTCTTACCATTGCTCAGTTAGAATGAAAACAAAACGATTTTAACCTGTTCTCTTTCTAACTGAATAACTCAAGGGGTTTTTCACTGATTCTGACAACAAATGGTGTCAAGATGACATCTTATCTGAAAACCTGGGAAAATGGACTATGGGCTATAGTGGTTGCGCATACCTGTAAGAGCCAAGGAGATGAACGCGATTTAACTTGGTATTTCCTTGCTAGAATGAAAGCATCGATGCCGGCTTTCACCCAGGGGGAGACCCCA